CTAATTTGAGTGTTCTACTTGTTTCCTGTTGGGACCCCAAATGATATACCTACAAAACCTAATATTAACAGTAAGTGTTAACTAGGGGTATGACTGGGAACAGACATTGTCCTAACTCCTATCAATAGCACCTTTTTCTTTGTAGGAATCAACAGCAAAATTTAATTGCCACCATAATTCTACCTAGTTCTTCAACTCCTACTCAGAAATTGACATGCACTGAATAAAGGGGACCTTAGCTAATCAAACTAAGCTGTTGTTCATTGTTTTTAGCCACTAAGTCATGTCTGACTTTTTGTGACCCCGTGGACTGTAGCTTGCCTGGCTCCTCTGTCTATGGGATTTTCCAGGCAAGAATAGTGAAGTGGGTTGCCATTTCCTTCTCCAGGGGATCTTCCTGACCCAGGCATCAAACCTGAGTCCCTGCAATCTTCTGCATTGGCAGCTTTATGGCTGAGCCACAGCTGGGCCTAAAACCATGAGCACATTTTTGATAAAAGTGCTGACTGATGCCTGAAGAAGGTAAACACATAGATAAGAGGGAAGCACCCTTGATTCTTGATACTCTCCAGATGGGCACAACTATCAGTCGGACGCTCTAGGAGTAAAAAGGAATCCCTGCTCCTTGGCTGTCTGAAACACTTTGTGCTCTCCAGGAGGTCCATGGCCAGCCATTGTTGACAGCCGAGCTTCTCCACCTTCAGAGCTGTATCTTACACGGACTTCTCCAGCTTAAAGAAGACTTTGAGGACAAGAATATCCAGTTCCAGATATCTACTTGAATCAACCCTAGGGGCCCATGGAAACAGATGAATTCAGGATTTAGTGGTCTTTTTAAGCCACTAAATATTGGAAATATTTTAGTTATGAGAATTATAGAAGGGGGACTTCCCTTGTGGTCCAGCGGCTAAGACTCCACGTTCCCAATGCAGGGGTCCAAGTTTGATCCCTGGTCAGGAAACTAAACCACAACAAAGATCAAAGATCCCATATATTGCAACTAACACCTGGTGTAACCAAATAAGTTTTGGTTTTTTTTTTTTAAAGAGGAACTATAGAGGGAAATTTCAGTAATTCCGGGGTACATGGAGCCTGGTCTCATTTCTGAAACTTCATCTGTCCTTACAGTATAAAAAAATATCTGAGAATGGGGTTTCATGGCCTTGGCAGGGATAAGTTTTAGATTTCAAGAGAGAAGGAAGGAGTCTTTGAGTTAGGAAACATGTCTAAGTGGTGAATAAGCACAGGCACTGAGGTTTTTAAGAGCAGCTGGGTTTGGCAAATATGAGGCTGTTCCTTCTCTCCCTTTTTGTTTTCTTCTCTCCTTTGCATAGTGAGGCAGGCTTCTGGGGTCTGAGTATTTCTCTGGTCACTGGTCAGACCCGCAGGAGAGCTTCTCTGAACACCTTGAGAATGAGCTGTTCTGAGAAGCTTCCAAGCCTTTCTGCATGGCAGGACCAGGGGTGGCAGATTTCTGATGAGATGGTCCTGCTTTCAGGGCTCTGCATCAGAAGTCATACGGCTGGCAGACACTGCTAAAAAAGCAAGCACATTCCATTCAAGGCGGTGCTTCTAGCATACTGCAGCTGAAGAAGGGACGTACTCTGGCTTAGAGCCAAGGCTGAGTGTTGGAGAGTGACTTCAGAGGTAAAGCTTGACCTCTCTCCCCTTAAAGAGGAAACTACCAGGAATGGATTCTAAACCAAGAAACAAGTCACTAAGGTTGCTTTTACTATCCCCAAGCTCATGGCTCACAAAACTATTGTGAATTCTGGTCCCACCATGTAGCTTTAGGAATGAACACACTATCCTCAGGTGGGTATGTTTTAAGTTATGTATTCTATGCATTTAGTATCTTCAACAGAAATGCACATCAAGGTTTACTATAAATAATCCTGATGGGGATAATCAAAAGTTGTGGGCACGTGACTTCCTAGTTTTCCTTCACTTTGATTTATATCTGCTGTGTTCTTTGAGATAACGGAGACTCCTATTTATTACTGCTAATTCCTTGACACAGAATCCCCCTGAAGGATATGTATCATTTCCCTTTTCTCCCAAACATACACGCATGTTAAAAATCTTTCCTGTAAGTGGGGAAATTTATAGCAAACAAAAAATTGCTGCATCAGTTCAAGTTTTCAGAGAAATCCTGAAGGGACTGAAGCAAGTACATTTAGCTAAGCTGCGCAACAACACGAGGCTAATTCTGGGGAAGAAGGAGGCAAAGCGTGACTAGGAAAATGATGGCAATAATTGGACAGTCTCAAAGTGACAGCTCTGCAACATGAATGCAGAGTCAAATTCATTTATTGTTTTTAGTTTATTTATCTTTGACGGCCTTGGGTCTTCGTTGCTGCACGCAGGCTTTCTCTAGTTGCGATGAGTGGGGACTACTCTTCGTTGCGGCGTCCGGGCTTCTCATTGCCGTGGCTTCTCTTGGCGCAGAGCATGGGCTCAGCAGTTGTGGGCACAGGCTTAGGCGACCTGTGCTATGTGGGATCCTCCCAGACGAGGGATCGAATTCATGCTCCCTGCATTGGCAGGTGGATTCTTAACCACTGGACCACCAGGGAAGCCCTAAATTTGTTTTTAATAATAACATGTCTCATCTGCATTGTGTTATTAGGTCTCAGACAGTGCCCTGAGCAACTGCCATGCACTATCTGATTTTGTCCTCACATCAACATTCTGAGGTGTAGAAATTGTGGTTATTTACATTTGCTAGATGGTGAAACTGTGGCCCAGTCACACAGTTTGCAAACAGTAGATCAAGTGTTCAAATTTGGGTCTGACTCCAACATTTCTCCAACAAATGTATTTCATTTCATTTTTCCAACAAATATAAATTGGGCACCCACTCTAAGTCAGGCATTGGTAATGGGCAGACAGTGGTATCTGTCTGCAGGACATTTATAATCCAGTAATGGTGATGAACGTTAATCACATATTTGGGTTAGAATTGTCATACACACCACGAACAAATGGTAGAAGATATTCTCTTATGTATTGCAAACCTCAAGATCATGCCTGTGTCAGATTCCCAGGAAATACTGCTTGAATTGTGGACTAACCCTAGTCTTGGCAGAGGACCAGGAAAGCTTTTCTAAGGTCTTGAACCTTGAGACTTGAAGGATGATTTGGGCTGATTGGGAGGTAGGAGAAGCTTGCCAGAAAGGAGTGTTTTAAGCTGCCCACCTAAAGTACTCAATTCCAGGAAGAACCTTAGCAGTTAGAAGAGATACAAAGTAGTCCAAAATTGAAGCATGGAAGGTGGGCGAAGAGATACAAAGTAGTCCAAAATTGAAGCATGGAAGGTGGGCGAGTGTGAGGGTCAGTTCAGTTTAATCACTCTGTCCGACTCTTTGCAACCCCATGGACTGCACCACGCCAGGCTTCCCTGTCCATCACCAACTCCTAGAGCTTGCTCAAACTCATGTCCATCAAGTCGGTGATGCCATCCAACCATTTCACCCTCTGTCATCCCCTTCTCCTCCTGCCTTCAATCTTTCCCAGCATCAGGGTCTTTTCCAATGAGTCAATTCTTCACATCAGGTGGCCAAAGTATTGGAGTTTCAGCTTCAGCATCAGTCCCTCCAATGAATATTCAGGACTGATTTCCTTTAGGATGGACTGGTTGGATCTCCTTGCAGTCCAAGGGACTCTCAAGAGTCTTCTCCAACACCACAGTTCAAAAGCATCAATTCTTCAGTGCTCAGCTTTCTTCATAGTCCAACTCTACAGTCCAACTCCAACTTTATAGTCCAAGGTTCAAGTGAGGGTAGCCAAAGATAAACTATAAAGGTAAGAAAGGTAAGCTATCCAGGGTCATGTGAGCCATATAAAGATTTGGACTTCCCTGGTGGTGCAGTACATAAGAATCTGCCTACCAATGCAGGGGACACGGGTTCAATCCCTGGTTCAGGAAGATGTCACATGCCTCAGAGCAACTAAGCCCATGCACCACAACCTCTGGGCTCGAGTGCTCCAATTATTGAAGCCCACATGCCTAGAGCCTGTGCAGTGAGAAGCCACCGCAGTGGGAAGCCTGTGCACCACAATGAATAGACCCTGCTCGCCACAGTTAGAGAAAGTCCGAGCAAAGCAATGAAGAGCCAGTGCAGCCAAACATAAATAATTTTTTTAAAAAACAGATTTTAATCTTAATTCTAAGAGCAATAGGTTTCCAGGGAAGGATTTTAATAAGGAGAATATCACCCATGGGTTTCCACTGATCATTCTTGCTGGAGTGCAGTCAGTGGGAAGGTCATTTAGAGATCTGTCACCACGGTCCAGACTCGGACTAGGATGATGGCAGCAGAGAAGGGGAGAAGTGAGTAGATACTTAGGAGGCAAATCCCTAGAAATGAAGGGTAAGAGTGGGCAATTGTGTCCATCAGGGTGCCTAAATTAGTTATTTATTGTGGCAAGACAAATTACCTCAAACAATAAGTACTTAGTATCTCACAGAGTGTCTTGAAAGGTCAGAGACCTGGGAGCAGCTTACCTGCGTGGCTCTGGCCCAGTCTGTCATGAGGCCAATGTGAAGTTGATGCATGTGTCACAACATTCTTACGTTTCCACTGGGGCTAGAGGACCTGCTTTCAATCTCACTCATGTGATTGACTGCAGGCCTCAGTTCCTTACGACGTGGGGAATGCCTGATGTGAAGGTTGACTCACCCCAAAGTGAATGATCAGAAAAAGAGAAAGTGTGCAAAGTGACCAAGAAGAAAGCTGCAGTGTTGTTCATGACCAGTCTCAGAAGAGACACGCCATCACTTCTGCCACCTTCTACAGTTAACACAGACCAAGTCTGACAAAGTGTGGGAGGGGACTACCCAAGGACGTGAGGGGACTACATAGGAGGCACCGCTTGTCAGGGGCCACCTTGAAGGCTGATAACCACTGTGCTCGTTGTGAAAAAGACGGCACTTTCAAATGAGGGTAATTTGAGAAGTTGTGTGTATGTGTGAATAGTTGTTTTGTCTTCTTACACAGGGACAATTTACAAAGATGTGTGCAAGGAAAAGAAAGACCACAAAGGAATAAAGACCACACTGGAAGCAGAAACCGTTATCACCCCCTACACCCAAGGGCCAAGAGGAGGGAGAGGTTGCTGGAACTTCGAAGGTGAGAGAATCATGGACAGCAGGCCCACCTTGAGAGAAGCTGAGTTATTCTGTCAGGCGACACGGCCAGCCATGTGCCTGGACATGCAGGGAGGTGACTGCTACCACCTTTCTCTAGCTATGCATTCAATGACATCACATGGGTAGCCACATAGGTTTTGGTTGGTAATATAGCAGAGATACTGGTGAATAATATGAACCAGAACTTTTTTTTTTTTCTTTCAGAGACCCAGTTGTTAAACATTTACAAGAACACTGCTGGACACAGCCAGCCTGAGGCAACCTTTCAACGTGGGAGCTAATAAAACTCACTCACTCTCAAGTTAGGAAGAGGACCAAACTCAACCAGGAAGCCAGAGAACACAGGGGCCTCTTGACTCAATTAATTGCTCTTGACTTCCTCTAGTCAAACCATCCCCTGGGGGAGACAGCAAGTGAAGGAGGGTGGAGCATGGATCCAGCACAGCAAGGCTGCGTATCAAGTATGATTCTCCAGCTCCTCCCGCGAACAACCACATAGATGGTGATTCAATTCACTGGGCACTGAAAAAAGACAAAGTATCACTTGTCACAATCTGTTTAAATTATAATTTTGTACCCATCCATATCTCTCCTGCTTCCCCACATCAGTGGGGGTAACTTTGGCAAACAGCCGAAAACTGGATTTTCTAGTAGAGTCAGAGAATGAGTTCACTTTTTTGTTTAACTTTTTTAAAACAATAGAGACTGACTCTAATTGAGAGATTTTATTAGAAAGGTGTGAGAGAGCTCAGAGAATTGAAAAAGGACTTGAAGAACGAGGCTCATGAAGGCAGAAACAGGGCAACTCTGAATCACCCAAATGGTAGGAAGCAATCAAAGATCTCAGAGCACCTCTGATGGAGAAAATCCTTCTCCAATTTTTTTTTCTTTCGTTAACAGTCCTTGAGTTATTCTGTTCAAGATGCACTGTTGGAGGGCTTCCCTGGTAGTCCAGTGGTTAAGAATCTGCCTTGTATTGCAAGGGACACCAGTTCCATCCCTGGTCTGGGACGATCCCACATGCCACAGAGCAACTAAGCCCATGCACCACAACTACTGAGCCCATGCATTGCAACTACTGAAGCCCACGTACTTAGAGCCTGTGCTCCACAACAAGAGAAGCCAATGCAATGAGAAGCCCGCACACTGCAATGAAGATTAGCTCCTACTCACTGCAACCAGAGAAAGCCCTTGTGCAACAACAAAGACCCACCACAGCCAAAAAATAAAATAAATGTATCTTTAAAAAAAAAAAAAGGATGCACTGTCTTAGAGTAAAAGTAAAATTCGATTGGCCAGCTTCAGTCACTAACTCCTCTTGGCAAGGAGAAGCCAAGGGTTCCTTAACAGGTTCACTGGGACTCACAATAAGGAGCCAGGAATCCCCAAAAAGGGATTCATAATTAAGAACAGGAGGGTGAATGGATGCTGGGAAGCCAAGCAGCAGCAAATGTCCACTACAGCCTGGGACATGACTTTGCTCCAGGATCCCTCCTCATTTGGCAGGTAGGGAAAGGAACAACTTTCATATCATTAATGTGGAAGTAATGAGGAATTAACTGTTCTTTAAAAATATCTAAGCATAATGTCAATAGTTCAGAAACGTCACATGATTTGACATTAAGAGGATTAATCTTGAAAAATCACAGGTATGTAAATAAATGTTGGAACTAAAATGAATAGCATACGGAAAGAAAAGCTGAAATGTGCTGATGTTTTAAAAGGAAGGTTAGATGCCAAATATCAAACCTGATGAAAAGATAAGTGTGTTCCAGTTGCATTCAGAGGAAGTGGAAAATGTAGAGTTAAAGCAAAAATAGGCTGTAAGTACTGGGAGTTTGTGGGAGGCTTTCTGATATACCTCAATAGTAACTATGAGCTAAGAGAAAATGCTTGATGTTTAAGGCCATGGGTCGCCTGACCTGCACTGCTCTGCCCTGCTCTTTTCCACTCATCTAAACCCTGCTGTCCTTTCAAGACCCTGCACACATGTCTTCTCTCAGAGCTTCCTGGACCAGCTCAATACAGCCCAATTCACAATTAAATAGCACTTCTTTTTCCATGCACTCAGCACTTTCTAAACGTCCCCATAGGTTGTTCCACATCTTCTGATGTGTGCATCCTGATCCTCATCAAGTCCAAGAATGCTGGAGGCAGGATCTCTGTCTTATGATGATAATAAGTTGGCTGTGGAGGTTTAAAAAAACTTTTTAAAACTTTGGTCTTTCTTCCCTTTTCTAGTTCCTCTTCTGCCTTCACCCTGAAAGTGAGGACCTTAGCAAGGATTTGCCTCTTCTCCCTTTTTTTCTACCTCACAGTGTTCTTGAGAGAAGTAAGGAAAGCTTACAAGTAGCAGACCAGACTTAAACTCATATGTTTTAATTTTGTTTGCTGCTCTTTCCCCTGTCAGCCAAAATCTAAGTGCATAGGAAGATCCTTGAAATGGTTACTAATATTGATGGTGTTCGTTTCGTGCTGCACATCCTTCCTCAATGATCTCATCCACTTGGGCAGTTTCAGCTGTGATCTTTAAGAGGGTGACTTGCCATCTGCCTTCAGCTAGATTCACCTTCCAAGCCCTGGGCCCATATTTCCAATGGAAAGTTCTGTAAACATCTCAGACTCAACACATCCTGAATTGAACTCATCTTTCCATACAAACCTAATCCTTCTTTTTACTGAGGTACTTGATCACAAGTTATAACTGAGCTAGATGTGACTTCAGCTTGAAATACCAGAAATGTCCTAGCTCCAGCATCTCCCTTTCACTTTCTCCCATCCAATATCCTAGTAGAGAATACCTTGTGTTTCTAATGTTTTTTTTTCTCTGCAGCCCCATGTCTGACTTTCATTAAATCTCAACTGAAACCTTACAAGAATGTCCTGGCTAGTCCCTCTATCTCTGGCCCCCACCTCAGCCCGTGCTCTACACTGTCATGAGAGTTCTTTTCCTAAAACACTGATAAGATTTTATCAAACTCCAGCACCCTCCCCACATACATCAACGTTTTTAGTCTCCTTCTTACTGCAAGTTAAGCAGTCTAAGCTCTCCACAGTTTTCAGCCCCTGCCAAACTTTCTAGCCTCATCTCCTCTGCAAACTCCAAACCTAATGCCACCCCCTATTTCACATTCCCAAAATATGTCCCCCACTGTCACACAGTTAATTCAGTTAAAGTTGCTTCCATTGTCTTCAGTAGTCTTGCCATCCAGGATCTTCTTAATCTTACATCTTCTAAACTGCTTTACTAATTTTAACAGTTAAAATCAGTTGTTCTTTCAAGTGGTAAATATTCATTACCAAGAACTAAATGTGCGTTAGGGAATTTACATACATGATCACAGGAATCCTCACCACAATTGAGTAAGTTGGGTATTACATGACCACAATCCCTTACCCAAAGTCATGAGGCGAATCGTGCTTCCAAATTTAGGATATCTTGCTTTTTTAGAAAGACAATAGAGTGGACCGAGTCAGTTTCCCTATCTGTAAAGTGGAAAGGGTAAGAACTAGTACAGTACTCACCTCGTGGAGTTGTTGTGAAACAGGCAATGTGTTCCATCGGAAAAGTGCCTAATGACATGGCCTTATTCAATGCATTTTGGGAATCTATTGACTTGTTATAATTCATAATACAGCAGCCTATGAACAATGCCTTGGTAGGAAGATAAATGCATCAACTTGTATAGTTACCTAATTTGTATCAGAAAAGTAACTTGGATGGTGATAAGAGCCTTCATTTTGCTGGCAGTTGTGTTTCTTTTTCTTTCTTTACTTTCACTTCCTTCTGCTACTTACCACACCCTTTACTCAGTGTTTCCTACCAAAATCACAGGCCTTCTGCCACTGCAGTAAAAAGGGTTTCTTCAGTTTTCTGGCCCTGGAGAAGGAAATGGCAGCCCACTCCAGTACTCTTGCCTGGAAAATCCCATGGACGGAGGAGCCTAGCAGACTGCAGTCCATGGGGTCGCTAAGAGTTATTATTAATACATAATTTTCTGTGGCCAAAAAAAGAAAAAATTATACCAGATAATTATTCCCTTCCTCTCTAACAAAAACACTTCATGACAATTACGCTAATTTTAGGAAGTCATGAAAACACTACTAACAAACTCATCTCCTTTACTCTTCCATGGGATGTAGACGAGATCAAGAATGTAGTACTGGCAGGAACCTTGAAGTTCAGGTGGCACATATGATCTGGGCTTATTTAATTATCTAGAGGCAAATCTGGTTTTATTGCACTTCTCAGATTTTGTGCTTTTTACAAATCGAAAGTTTGTGGCTACCCTGCGTTGAGCAAGTCTACTGGCACCATTTTTCAAAAGGCACTTGCTCACTTCACGTTTCTGTGTCACATTTGGTAATTTTCATAACATTTCAAACTTTCATTATATTTATGTGGTGATCTGTGATCAATGACCTTTGATGTTACTATTGTAATTGTTTTGGGGCACCATGAACTGTGCCCACATAAGCTGGCAAACAATTGATAAATGTGTATATTCTGATTGCTCCATTGATGGATTAGTCCCCCATCCCTTGTCTCAGGCCTCCCTATTCTTGGAGACACAACGTTATTGTAATTAGGCCAATTAATAACCCTACAATGGCCTCTAAGTGTTCAAGTGAAAAAAGGAATTACACACCTTTCACTTTAAATGAAAGTGAAATTGTCAGCAGGGTGACAATATACAGGCTATTTGTACTCTTTTCCCAATTTTGAACCAATCCGTCGTTCCATGTCTGGTTCTAACTGTTGCTTCTTGACCCACCACCCCTTCTCAGGAGGCAGGTAAGATGGTCTGGTATTCCCATCTCTTTAACTTTAACTTTCCACAGTTTGTTGTGATCCACAGTCAAAGGCTTTAGTGTAGTCAATGAAACAGATGTTTTTCTGAAGTTCCCTTGTTTTCTCTATGATCCAATGAATGTTGGCAATTTGATCTCTGGTTCCTCTGCTTTTTCTAAATCCAGCTTGTACATCTGGAAGTTCTCGGTTCACTTACTGCTGAAGCCCAGTTTGAAGGATTCTCTTGATATGCTGAGTAATACTGATCAATGTCCAAATGTTAACCAGCCTTGCATTCCTGGAAACCACCACATCCCAACCACTTGTTCATGATGTATTATCCCTTTCTTCTTATTGAATTTGATTTGCCAAAATTTTGTTAAGGATTTTTGCATCTATGCCCATGAGGAATATTGGCTGTAACAGTTTTCCTTTCTGTAACAGCTTAGTTTTGGTGGCAAGTTCTACAGCCTTACTGATTTTTCTGGTTGTTTTTTTTCTATCCATTACTATAGAAGTATTTAAAATTTTCCAACTATGTTTATGTATTTGTCTATTTCTCCCTTTAGTTCTATCAGTTTTTGCTTCATATATTTTGAAGTTCTATATATATAATTATGTATCATAGCAATGCATAGTATCATTATAAAATGCCTCATGAAACAAGTAGAAAATTATTCCTTCCCTCTATCTTTTCTGAAATAGTTTTTGAAAATTTGTATTATGTCTTCCTTGAATGCCTGATAAAACTCATCAGTGAAGCCATCTGAGCCTGGATTCTTGTTTGTGGCAAGATTTTAAGTCACTAATTCCATTTCTTTAGTAGGTGTAAGATTATTTGGGTTTTCTACTTCTTGTTATGTCAGTTTGATAAATAGTGTCTTTCAAGAAAGCTATTTCATCTAAGTTGGACAATTTACAGACACAAGTTGTTTATAGTATCTCCTTTTATCCTTTAAGGTCTGTAGACTCTGTAGTTGTGCTCCCTCTTTTATTCCTGATGTTGCTGATTTGTATCTTCTCTCTCTTTTTTTTGGCCATGCTGTGCAACATGCAGGATCTTCCCCAGCCAGGGACAGACCCTGTGCAGTGGAAGATCCAAGTCTTAACCATTGGAGTGCCAGAGTTTCCTGTACCTTCTTTTTTTAATTTTTTTCTATTAATCTTTTCAAAGAACCAACTTTTGCTTTCATTAATGTTCTCTGTTTTTGTCT